TGAGGAAGACTGAGGAAGGCAGTCGAAAACGTTTGTTGTTTTCATTAAATAAATATATTTTTACTGGTCAAGTAAAGGTTTTTATGTGTGTTTATATTAAGTAAATTGGACCAGTACCAGGTGAGAAGTAACTTTTATATGAGGGATACCTGTATATATGAAACATGCAATGCCATAATGTTGTAAATGCCAAAAAAGAAACTTTTTAGGAGAGGTAAAAAATGCTTTTTCTAGTGAATGAGGGATAGAAACATAGAAATTCATTTTGATTTTACAATAAAATGGTAAAAAAACTCACTAGGTTACAAATTCTCTGGAATATCAAAATGATGTAAATATATAAGCTTCATGGCTTTGCACACTTCATATAATTTTTAACATGAATTAAAGGTCAATACTTAACTGGGTTTTTTGTGTCTTTATTTTAATGTTAATTTTGGTATTCTGTAATTTTATTTACTTACTCTGTTTAATGTTTATTTAACTTGCACAAAATATTATATAGAATTAAATGTGTTCTAACTTGATTTCTTTCCTCTTCTGATAACTTCAGTGGAAAATGTTTTATAAAAACTGCTAAACCATTTATTTTTACTATTGATGGTCCATTAAAATTCATTCTTAACTCTAATGTTCTTATATTATGAGGCATCTGTATGTTTGTTGTATTCATTGTCAGCTTCTTCCTCCAGTCTTTCTTATCTTGCAATGTAGAGCAGTCTATTTTCTTTATCAATTTATTATAGTTTTCTTTCGATTTCTTATTATTACTTCCATTCTTGCTTATATCTAGTATTAGTCTTTCTTTATTTTCTTATACAGTAAAATTCCACTAAGTTGGACATTTTTAGTGAGGATACAAAGCTTACAAGTTAGCATGGTGTCCAGGTTAGAGAGGTGAGTGTTTTTGCACACATGCTTCATTTACTGCACCTATGTTTTGCTAAATATGGTTTAAAAAAGCATCAGTTTTTAATGTTATCACAAAATTTAATAATGAAAAATGTGTTTTTAATATAATGTATATGTTACAAAGTTTGATAAAGTATCAATAAACCAGCTTGTAAGGTATGAGTTGTAATATCTTGTCTACACATACATAATATTAATTATGCCAATATGACTTTCTATAGAAACATACTGATATGCTGCAGTTAGTATTTAAATCATACTTAAAGGCATGCATTTGTAGAGTAAACACATCATGTTTATTTTTTGCAAAAGAATTCTGTTGTATGAGATTGGTGGTGTCAAGACAGTTCTTTTTATATTTCTACCCTAATCTCAAACACCTTCTTCACAACATCAAGTTGACAATATGCATAATGTTTGAGTTTTGTAATATGTATAAGGTCGGATTGATGATTTAGTGCTTTCTCTTCCACTATTTCTGGTTCTACATCGTAAAATGCATCACTTGATGCAACGTCATCATTTTCACATATTTAATAATAATATTTTTGAGCATACTCTCTGAATCATTTCTGGAACACTCATGAACTTCTAATACATCATCAATATATCAGATTTCTGGATTTTAATGTTTAAGTGATCTTATATTGTAATAGTCTACATACCTTCTATGATGAAACTTTGTGTGTGTGAACAACTACACAGACACCATGATCTTATTCTTGAACTCCTTTTCCTTCAAATTGCTTCCCTTTACAATAACAATCAACACTTGTCATCTGTTGGCCAACAAGCATCCTGTAATTTGTCACTAAGTGTCATTTAGTGTCCAATTTGGAATCACCACAAAGAAATGTCTAACATAGCAAGGTTCAAAGATAATACAGCAGCAAGTGTCCAACTTTTGAGGTTTTACTGTATATTCTTCGTGTCCAGTTCATCATATCAGTATAGTAAGTCTTGTTAATATACAGAAATCCTAGATGATGATGATACTCTTTCTTCAGTGTTTACTAGGTAAACAAATTTTTCAAAAAGAAAGGACATTAGCTTCAGAACAAAAATTATCTCAGATTTTAAAAAAGGGGAACATTTTATAAATGGAAATAGGAAGAACAAAACATTTCAGAAGCTAGATCCCATAATTAAATGTTTACTTCTTCAGAAATTTAAATTATGTGAAGATGGAAAGCCAATGAGATGATGCGACAAAAATTAAAATAAGATAAAATAAATAGAGATAAAAAAGAAATATAAACCAGACAAAGAATATACTAGAGTTTGAACATAGAAACTTCATTTCTACTATTACTACTGTCTTTATAAGATCTCACTCTTTGAAGATCTCTTTGCTAAATATGGTTTAAAAAAAGCATCAGTTTTTAATGTTATCACAAAATTTAATAATCAAAAATGTGTTTTTAATATAATGTTTATGTTACAAAGTTCGATAAAGTATCAATAAACCAGCTTGTAAGGTATGAGTTGTAATTGGAAACTCTCCAGTTTTCCAATTAAGCATCATAAAAATTCTACGGAAATAGCTATTTAATCACAGGATCCAGCCTCTGAAATGTTTTTCTGTTTATGGAATGTTACAAGTTTTAAAAAAAAAACCAAGATAAAGTTTCTGTAATCAATGTTTCTTTTTTACAAGGTATTCTACCTAGTAAACATTAAAAGTGGCCTTCAAAAAGTCAAAAACATTCTGATTATTTAAACAATGGTTTAAACAAAGATAAATGTTGGATAAAAATATTAACTTATACTGGAATTAGTAAGAATTATACAAAATTACCACCTTTTAAATACTCCAGCAAATAATTTAATATTGTAAGAACATTTTCGATCGTCTTAACAAAAATTAAAATTACGAAAAATAATAAGTGCGCATGCATTTGTAATGTTGTGCGCTTAGGGGAATAAATATCAATACAAAAAGAATAGGGATTGTAAAGTACTATATTATTTTTCAGACTTTCCAACGATTATCGACACTACTGTGTGCCGGAAATAGCCGTTCCCTAACGGGTACTTTACGCGGATTCGCGTTAGTGTGCCAGGCCTGGACTTTAAGCGTGCACCAAATTAAATAATGACAAAGTTTGTCAATAACAAAAAATCAAATATTTAATTAAACTTCTAGTAATAAACTATATACAGTATTTAGTAAAAATCAAACAATAATTTATTCAATGAAATTCAACAAGAATCAACCCGACAAAACTCAAATCAATCTATTTCTAACTTAATTCTATTCCCCTTTGAAATTCGACAAAAATCAAAGACTTAACTTATAAACAATAATTCTTATAAATTAAAGATCCTAATCGTCACCTCAATATACTAGGAACCTATTTCCTCAAACTCTCAAGACTTTCTATAATCGTCGATCCACAAATCGAATAACTTCAAAATCGCCTTGGAACTATTTGATGCTATCGGACACCTCTCTCATTCACTGCTAAGAAGCTCACCAAAGCTCGTTGCTATCAGGAGTTCACCTCGTTCATCTTCACTTGAGACTTGGGATTTATTGTGTGAGGTGACGTCACAATTCTGAATGAGATCACTCTCCTCATTTACATACTTTTTCGCTAACAATAAATTTTTTTCTATTTGTCTGGCAGCCTATTTTCTGACAATACTCGCTAACCTTTTACATTATTCCTTTTCACAATTTTTGGGACGTTTTTATTCTTTAAGGTTTAGCGAGTCCCTAATTCGTGTTTGTGGGGTCTCTCCCCCCCCCCTTTTTCTCGTTGCGGACTTACTTTTTTCCGCTCGGGAAGCGCAAGTGTGCGTGAGTTTTTCTATGGCGCTTTTCTTTCATCGTGAGTTGGTTTTTCTTCTATTTTTAAGTTACTAAGGTGAATGGTGAGGAAACCTTTGTCCTAACTAAACATAAGCCCCAAACAAAAATAGAATAATAAGCAAAATAAAAGTAAAATAAAAATAACGCTCGGACTTTGGTTCCTTACAGGATATAAGAATATAAAAAGCTCAACAGTTTTGCATTATTTTAATTTTTGTTCTATTTCTTTAATGTTCTTTTATTTTAGTGTTTAACTGATGAAGATCATTAAAGATGATCAAAAACATTCTTACAATATTAAATTGTTTGCTGGAGTATTTAAAAGGTGGTAATTTTGTATGATAAATGTTGGTGTGTTGTTATATATATATATATATATTCCTTTGATATAAAAGTATTGATATACTACTACTTTTTTTTTATAATTTTCTTCATGTTTAATACAGATATGCCAATATTTAGCAAATTTTTCAAATTGTATCTAGCCCATCCCTGAACACTAGTAGTTGGTCATGAGTTTGTGCCTCACCAATGAACTGGCTGTATGGAGTATTTTAGGTTTTATTCACATATCTAACATTAAATAAGGATCAGTTTTCTCAAAAAGCATCGTTTTTAGCAGATTGCCTATTTGTTGCATTGCCTTACACCATCTCTGTAAAAATCTTCAGGTTGTTCTTGGAACCATTTTCTTATAGTGGCTTGAACATTTTCATTACATGTGAAATGAATTTCTTTGAGATGTCACTTCAAAGTAGGAGTTAACCAAAATTTGATGGTGCCAAATCTGGACTGTAAGGAAGATAGCCAAGAACTTCAAATTTCAGTATGGCTTCTGATATGAAAGCACTGTTGTGAGATCTAGTATTGTCATGTTGCAGAATCATTGGCTTTGTCCACACAGTCCCAGAACTATAAACTGTCACTAATCTTTCATATTTTTTTTTAACATACTTTTTATGAGTTAAAAACTTTATAATCACATGCATCAGCACAATTGAAATCATATCATTCATTTTTAACACAACTAAATTCAAACTAGTTCTATTATGCATTAAAATAAAGCTAATGAAATGAATCATTTATTGTCTAACCGCTTTGTAGATAACAACAATTGTATGAAAACACTTGCATGGAGATATTACTTAGTGAATGGCCTATATATGTATTATTGTGAGAATATATTGTTAATAATTTTAAAATAAAATTTTAAAAAAAAATTATAATTAATAAATAAAACTAAAATTTTTTACAAACTTTATTATTGTTGCAGTGTGTATTATATTTGTGGGCTTTGAAAATATGCCATCCAACTACTTTGTTTTTACTTAGAGGTAATCATGAATGCAGGCATCTAACTGAATATTTTACATTCAAGTTAGAAAGTAAGTAATTATTTGTTTTTCCAAATATATTTAAATATATGTAGAATATATACGTTCATTCAAATATATACATTTTAAAGTAATATTTTGTTCTTATTTTTATTTTTATTTTCATTGTTACAAAATTTTAAAAAAATTTATCCTTATTATTACATTTTATATTTACACACTCAGGAAAGTAAAAATTAGCTAAAATTTTGAATACTGAGAAAAGCCAGGAAACAGCCTGGAATTTCATTACTATAATTTTTTTTTATGTTAAAATGAAAATTATTTAAATTGAATTGTTAAATGTAAAGATATATTTTTGATTAGAATACAGATTTTTTTATAAAAAGAACAAATTGTTTTGTTGAAGACTTGTTCATCCACAAGCACATTTACTTTTACCTGAGTATTTTGCATCTGTTTGTTTGAATATAGTAATAAAATGCTTTACTGTAAATTTTTGAATTGAATATATAGTAGCCCCTCGTTATAATGCAGATTTGGATATATCATTTTTTTTTGTCCCCAAATTTGAATCTATAATTTGAGATTTGAATTTTTTTATAAGTTAAAATTGATTTTTTATTTTAATATATTTTATTGAATGAAATGAAAAAAAAATAAACAAACAAGAATATTATCAATTATTGTCCATTAGATAGATGTTAATTTTTGCTGTTCTCTATCGCATCCAATAATTTTGTTTTTCTTGAATATATACCTTGAACTAATATGTGTTTTATAGTAGACCCCCCTATAACACTGTTGATAATTCCATTTTATATGAATTCCATGTTGTACAAGTATCTTAGATTTTACAAATACATGTGCCAGGCTGTGAACGGCTCACGTATTTGTAAAATTAAGTGACTCGTATAACATGGAATTCATATAAAACTGAATTATCAACAGTGTTATAGGGGAGGTCTACTGTACTTCTAAAAAATGTTACAGCAATAATTTCTGCTTTATTTCCCAAATTTATAATTATTGTATTGCATTTTCTCATTTAATTTTAGATGTTATTATACACTATTATTATAAATTATTATAATGGGATTGTTAATTTATGTATGATTATTTAATTAGGTAAGATAAAATATTCTGAAAGAGTTTATGATGCTTGTATGGAAGCATTTGATTGTTTACCATTAGCTGCTCTCATGAATCAACAGTTCCTTTGTGTTCATGGTGGTCTCTCACCAGAAATCCATACATTGGATGATATTAGGCGGGTAAGTACTAATTACAGATTTTTAAGTTGCAATTAAGAATAAATTACAAATTATGAATTAACATTATATTATTTATTAATAAAATTTGAAATTAATTTTCAATAGGAAGTCTGCAAAAGAACATGCATTTTTTTTTTTTTATTTTTTTTTAAGTATAGTTATAATTTTTTATAACTTATTAAATTACTTTTATAATGTTATTTTTTCTTATAAAAAATAAGAGAACAAGTAAATAAATGTATAAAATAAATAAATAAAAGAGAGCAACAGAAAAAGAGAGAATACAAAATTTATTAGAGAGGTTGCGGCTGTCGGACATCAAGCGCTGTCATCTATCAATTCTACTAGGTTGATAATGGCCTTTTTTGGGGGGGTAAAATTATAACATATTTTATTAAAATAATGATTATTTAAGCATTTATGAATAATAATGTAAAGAAGCAGACAATTTTAATCCAGAAATTATTGAATTATTCAATTTTTCTTCACGTGATATGAAGTGCCTAAAGAATTTACATTCTGTTTATAATAGCTTATCATAATTCTGTAGGAGTAGGTTTGTTCTTTCACAGCATCTTTTACCATCAACAGTGTAATATGTTTGTAAATTTTCTAAAAATAATTTTTCGAGCTGTTTTTGGATTTACGTAAGCTACTACTTCCCTCAACAAAAGTATGAGATAGTCCTATTGCCCTATCATATGGTAGAAGACACGACACTAGTTAAAAATAACAATTTAGTGTTATTAAACATCCTATAAATACTTTAAAATAGTTTAATTTGTTTATTTACCTTCGCTAGCAATATCATCATTGTTAAACATTTCCGTCATTTTTCAACAATATCCCATGAGTCAGTATGTGACGTGAACATGTGGTACAATGTGTTTTACTTGGAGTTCAAACGTGTACTTCTACTTGCCATACAAGTTTAACATTTGAACTTCGGTTGCAACCTCTCTATTACTCTACACTATGTAATTACTGTAACTTTTTGAACATAACCCACAAGGGCATGTACCCACAGAATATCACTTGAACAGAAATAAATCTTTATGTCACTCCACTATATATCCCATACATTTGAAATGAAAGCATGGCATGTATTGGTATACAGTTCAGAAGATACTATCTCAGAGATTAAGCAGTTTTTTTATTACACTGCATTGAAGATGTAATTATAAAATAAATGAAACAAAAAAAATGGAATGGCAAGATAAGCAGCAGAAAAAGAATCAAGAGTTTGGTCAACTTTCTTGGAGATTGACTTTACAGCAACCCAAATAGAAAGAACAAGTATCACTGGATTCAAACCAGTTGGCCTGGGAATATGCTTTTGGCTTTTAGACAAAACATCATGAACAGATTTAGGTATGTCTCCCAAAGAGAAATTGAAATATGATGTAAAAAACTTGAGCTCTTCATCAGCTTGTGATTTCTAAAGCAATTTAAGTTTTGTGCCTAATGATTTCTCTCTCAGACTCACATCATAGAAACCAAAGCTCAGAGCTTGTTGAATTCCAAATAGAGAGATGTATTGTATTTTCTCAAGGATTGCCCAGCATGTCAGTCTGTCTGGGGGAGACCATGAAATCAGATATTTCTGTATGGTAAAAACCAACATACCAGTTAATCCTGGGGAATACTGGCATGCTGGACAATACAGATTTAAATGAGGTTATATATTCCTTTCTTTAGTATAATTTTTGTCTTCATTGGTAAAAAATTTTTTTTTTTTTTTTCTTTTTTTTAGGATTTTTAGGCATGTTGCAGAATTGCATTGAATTGCAACACATGGCCTGAATGTTATGCCATCTTTTATGCTCATCAGGTTTTAAATTCAACATACAGTCGACCTCCCTATAATTATGGTCCCTATAATTACGATTCCTATAAAACTACGAAAAAATATACGTATTTTGGAAATGTTGAGTCGGATTAGTGTAGAATCAATTAATTTTATGGAAGAAAACCTTTCAATCAGCCGTAGTCCGTAAACTTGACACGTGTCGGGCTGTGATTGGAACGACTTGTAAGAAATCGGATTCCTAATAAATTGGAACGTATCTATATCTTTTAGGGGGGTCGACTGTAACTTCTACCACATAAATGCATAAATTCTAGATTACATATTAGTGATGGAATGATACCAAAATTTCTTCTGATTCCAATTATTTTGAATACTTTCTAAAGTTTATTTTAGTTTATAAAGATTAACTATTTACATTATGAGCATAGTACATTCATTAATTAATAAACATCAAGCTTAAGAATGGAAAATGGTTGGGAAATCCAGAATCAATCTTTTGAAAAAAAAACCTGAAAATTCTTTATTTATATGTGCATATGCATTACTTTTATTGTGTACTACAAATAAATTTGTAATCTTATTTTAAATAAAGTTAATATTGCACTACACCCAAAGAAATTACAGTTAATTTCCTTTTACTCAAAGAATTATGCCACCCAGGATCATTATCTTAGGAAACTGCTTCATTGGCCAACTTGATGACTAGGGGAGGGGAAAGGTAAATGAGAAGATGCACTTCATTTTTCAAGCTTCTTGCAATCAAATGCATTGTAAATGCTTTAATTCCATTGTATTTCACACTAAATGAGGTTTGGCAAATAATGCAATGAGCTGAACAAATATCATCTTTGTGAGATCACTAATTTTTGAATTCATTCACTTGAGCCATGAACGTGTAGACTCATCTTGAAAAATAAATTTTTAAAATTTAAAACAGTAGTGTAGATTTGCTGCAAACACGTATTTTTACTTAGAATCACACAATCACATTTGAAAATTTAATGTATTATAGTATTATTCATGAATCATAACAAAAACTTTCATAATTATAATAAGAAAGTCATTTTATCATTATAAATAAATATACTAAATATTAAAAATAATTTTATATAATATTTTTTCAATTGAAAATATAATTTTGTTTATATTTTAAACTGTTTTACTGACACTTAATATTTTTGACCGCCAGCCTTGATTTGAAACTAGGTAGCTCATTAGTTCAATCAATGTTAACTTGCTTATATTTAAAATTTTTAAAAAGCAGACAAATTTATAAAACAAAAATTAATGAAATTACTAAAAAAAATTTTAATTAATTTAAATTTGATTATCTTATATGTGAAACAACACTCGAACAATTTCTATAGTTATGTTGCAAAAAACAGAAGAGTTGCAGTTAATTTAAAAAATTGTAATTAAGGGTTCAAAAAATGCAAGCAAAATTAAATAAATAGAAATTATTAAAAATAAAACTAAATGAATACAAAATAAATTAAACCTAAAAAATTAATTAAAACACTGGCCTTTACATCGAAACTGAAATTAAAATTAAAACTAAAATCAAATAAATTGAAAATTAAAACAATGTTTTTAAAAATCAATTAAAAGTTGTTTTGAAATTTTTAAATTTACATTATTTGTGTATGGTGGTGACAAAACATTTTGCTTTTAATATATATTTATACAGAAACAGATTGCAGGTGAAGCCGGCCCAATGTTAGCTGGATGGCAACCCTAATGTCACCCTCTCTCCCCTAAAATGGAGACAGTTAGTACTGACCAAATGCAATCTCTCAGTGCTGTAACTACACAAAAGCAAAGCTTGCCATGACAGGCATCACTTTGTATGAAACTTTCCAAAAAATTAATGTTGTTGTTAATTTTGTAATTTTAAAAATTTTTAGTCTGTAATTGAAACAAACAATTAATTTTATTAAATATGGAAAGGATTGTGTTAAGAATCAAACATCATAATGAGATTTTCTTGATTCTGATTACCAGGAAATTCCCAATTTTTCCAATTTTGATTCCAATTTATTGTCTTATCACTATTGCATATGTGAACTGATACAAATGTAACAAAAATAGAATAATCACTAAAATAAGATACTTGTTTTTTTTTTTTTTTACTTTGTTTGTTCGCTAAAAGAAAAATATTTTCTTTTAGCGAACAAACTACATGGTTGCATAGCAACCATAGTTTGTAAATTTCTATAATTTTCCGTTTCATTCCGAAATATTTTTGAACTGCAAGAAAATTTTGATTTATATTGGAGTTTCATTTAGCCACACCGCTTTTTCAAGAAGTGCTATAACTCTGATACAAAAAACTGTAGTATTCATTTCATCTGAAGATGGTAACTGTATGTTACTGAAAGTGCTCATGAACATTTTATATTTATATTTTAATAATTCATTGTGGTAACGCCACAACACGTAAGTGATTTTACAATAAATAAAAGAAAAAGATTATTTCTCAAATATTTGTTTTCGTGCTTTATGTTTTCATGATATTGTACTTATTCCTGTTCATTGTGCAAGAAAAACATTAGGAGAAACAAATTTTGCATATTTTTCATGTTTTATAGCTAAAAAAAATTAAATTTCTATTAGCATTCTAGCAAAAAAAAAAAAAAGGACCAAGTGTAATTTCCATTTCCATAGGCCAAGCTGTAACTATTTCCATTATGTTTATATGGCTAGTGTAGGGGTGGCCAATAGTTTTTTGCCTCGGGCCAAATTGGAAAGAAAACTTTTTTCATTGGTCGAACCAGAGGCTGCCCTAGGAAGATTTTGAGGTGGTGCAAGATCTCATTGTGGTGTCACCCTGTAGAGACTAAATTGTACATAGAGATTATAGATACATTTTTCACATTATCATGCATTATCAACATTCTATGCTGTACTTAAGAGATTTTTATTGGAATGTTAACTCTAAATGCACAGTGAGTTGTTGATTTTTTTTGTTTTTCTTTTTTAGGCGTCAGAATTTTTTATCAAGCTATTCGGACTTGAGTAGCTAATATTGAAAAATTAATTGCGGGCCACATAAATTCATTAGACAGGCCAGATCCGACCCGCGAGCCATATATTGGCCATTCCTGGACTAGTGTGTTGCATATTTGCAACACATGGCACTTAATGTTTTTTCTTTTATTTTATCTAAGTTTTATAAACACCTGATTCAAAGTATCAAATCTGTATTTAATGGTTGCAGTGTATGCCTCCACTAATTTTCTTAAACTAAAAGATTGAGATTTAGAATGAACTGATAAATAATAGAAAGTACAGTCACATTTTTTAATAACTGCTATTTCATTTTTAAAAATTTTTCTTTAATTTATCTAGTTATGGAATTTTTAAAATCTATTAGTGAACAGAATACAGTGATGCATTACAATAAAGAATTTATTAGATTTAATCTTTTAATCTATTATGTTAGTTGCATGTATGCAAAAATTTATAATAAATTTTAAATATGCTTAGATAAGAAAATGGAGCAATTTATATGTTTTTAAATATGTATAAAGTTAGTATGTTATATATATGAAAAATGTTTTGAGTTTTCTTGAAAAATGATTTATTCTAATGTATTTTTTATTGCTTTTTGCCCTTAATTTCATTAAATGTTTCTACTAATCTAAACAGTTACTTATTTTAGGGCTTATCACACCAGTGAATATGAAAACAAAAATTCTTAAATTTATTTTATATTTACATTTACATTAGAATAAAGGAATTTTAGAATAATTAAATTTAATATGTATACAATATACCCAAAATGCATTTTGGACTCCTAAGTCTAAAAAAGTCCCTCTTCAGTTGGTTGAAATTTTGTGTTCATATTCACTGCTGTGATAAGCTCTAAAATAAATAACTATGTAGGTTAATAGAAACATTTAAAGATTTATTTTAGGTAATTCTATATATTAAAAATATTTCATATACATTAATATACTGTATTATTTGTAAGCATGCATACAATTATTCTAATTAAAATTATAATGTTCTTACTTTATAGTTAGATAGATTTAAAGAACCACCTGCATTTGGTCCAATGTGTGATATACTTTGGTCAGATCCATTGGAGGATTTTGGAAATGAAAAAAATTCTGAACATTTCTCACATAATGCAGTCAGAGGTTGCTCTTATTTTTACAGGTTAGTTTTTATTATCATTTAATATGCACATACAAATCTTTTAATTACATTTCAATTGATAATTATATTAATATTTTATGTTAAGAAGTTTATATATCATTTTGCATAATTGTTAGTAGAAACGTAAACTTATATCAAATTTTTACAGAACTTTGTCAAAACTACAAGCAAACTTTGATTTTATGTATTCATGATGATATCTAACAATTAAATGAAGCTAGGTGCACACAAACTGAATTTAAATATATATTATGATTAGATATTTAAGCCAGCAGGATAGCAGATTGAAATTTANTATTCAACTGCTTTGTATGGCAATATTAATTTTTTTATGTAACTTACACATCTTTAAAAATTTAATTGCTAAAATATATTTTAATAAATATTACTTATCAAACATTATATTTTAGGTATCGTATGTACAGGAAAAGCCAATCTACAGGTTTTCCATCTCTTATAACTATATTTTCTGCACCAAATTATCTGGATGTATATAATAATAAAGGTATTAGAGCACATGAAGCCCAAGATGCTGGGTAAGTATTTTTTGCATTTTTATATATTTTTTTAATTTTTATTAATCAGCAAGATATTTAAAGTATTCCACAATGCTGTTTATTATATTTCTAAAAAAGTAGATGATTTTTATATTGATAGTAATGACTGTATTTTATTTTTTAAGGGATATTACTTATTATGAAAGAAATAGTATGTTTTTAGTACTGAATACTAAAAATTTTGTGCCCAGTTGCCCATTTTTTATTTATTTTTACCTGGGTGCTTGGGATAATTCAGGTCAAATCTGTGAGACAAAATAGTATGACGCAAGCACTTCTTAGAAGTCAGAACTGACACCACTTACATTTTTTGTCTGGGAATATAGGAAATCTAATTTATTTTCACGTTACTCTCATGCATGAGTAAGCAGTTTATGAGCGACTTACAGATAAAGGACAGAGGACAGAAATAAGAAAGACAGGGAACTGGGAACAATCAACTACAAAAATTAACTAAAATAATAACTAGATATATTTAACTGGATTATGAAAAATTAACTACACAAAACAAGATAAATCCATATAATTCAAGCAAAATAATTTAATATTCAATATAAAATAATTCAAATACACTCAACGACAGCCCTTTCTTAAGCCTGATACTATCTTCTGAACTAATAAACTATTTCTGCCTAACTGCAAGAGAGAGTTTACATTTGTTCTCAGGCTGATAAATACCTTGTTGATAAAATGACTGATGTCTTTGATATTCATGGATTTGTTTTTTTCAATGAAGACTAATTGACAGCAGATGAGAATACCCTGTTTCCCCGAAAATAAGACAGTGTCTTATATTAATTTTTGCTCTCAAAGATGTGCTAGGTCTTATTTTCAGGGGATGTCTTATTTTTCCATGAAGAAGAATTCACCTTTATTGTTGAACAAAAAATTCCCAAGTCAAACTTATATGAGAGTGACATATATCTGGTTGTGTCGAACTGAACTTACAAAGTTCCCGTGCTCTAGTGGACTTCCCATTCTCGCTTCAACTTAACCTTTTTATAGCGTCGACATCGGGCTCGATGACCAATTAGTGCTTACTGAACCGTAGCACTATGCAAATGTGATGTGGCTTGATTCCTAGCCGACCAATTAGCCATCACCAGCTGTAACGTTATGCAAATCTGTGATTTCAAGCCATAGTCTTATGCAAATCATGCCATGTGGCATGATTGTCTGCTGGCCAATTAGTGGCTGTACTTTCAAAAAGCCAACGGCCACTTTCAACCATCTGTCGATGACTGTTACGAGTAAAAAACTTTGCTAGGTCTTACTTTCGGGGGGAGGCTTATATTTAGCAATTCAGCAAAACCTCTGCTAGGTCTTATTTTCAGAGGATGTCTATTTTCAGTAGGAATGGAAATAGCTGCTATCAGGATTTTGCCAGTCCATCAGCTGTCTGTCTTTAACAACAATTGTATGGTCCTTCTGTCAGACTGTAAGTGGTTGTTAGCAGTAATCAGACAGCAATAACCATAGCAGATAAAGTAAAAAGAGAGTTTGTCAACTTCTTGTGTCTTTAGAAACAACAGATATGATGAAAGCATTCAAGTCTGGAGACAGGATGAATGACATATAGAGAGTAGTATAACAAGTTTTCCTTATAAGCTTTCCATAACAAGTCCTTTCAAGTTTGTAAGTCATATTTTCGCATGTAATTGCGTTTGTGGAAGATGGATTTAACATAAATGAAGCTTTAATATTTTCAAAAAAATTATAGAATTATCATCAGAATTTTGATAATAATTCAGCAGTTTGGAAACTTCAATGTATTAGGTTGGTTGTTGTTTATATATAAGTCTTAATAGTGTTTAGGCTTCTTGTTCTTTAATTGATTAGTTATAATAATTTTAATCACAGTTACCAGCACTTTTTGGAAGGACTTGTTATACATCACTTTTCACTTTAAAAGAATTTCCTTTTATTAGTTGAAAATTAAAATCATAGGTATGCATTTTGGGAGGGTCAGCTATCTCTCTGCTCTTCATTCTTTTTCATTTTTTTAACAAACATAAGGTACTCAGATATGCTAAAATACAATGTAAATTAATAGTACAGGCCCAAAATTGGTTGAGTTAAGTATAACTATCAACCATAAAATAGAAGAATTAAAAAGTATTATTGCATATTACCACTACTATTGTAAAATTTAGATATCACAATGAATGCTAAAGAATCTTTAATGCTTATATCTATTTAAAAAGACTTACTAATGACAGCAGAAACAAAGATTTCACTAAATCTTTGTCATCAGTAAGCAGTTATACCTGATTAATCAATGATGATAATATATTTTATTGAAAAAGATATATCACTTTTAATTTTAGAATAGTACAATTTCATCACATATTAACATTAGACTTATAGAACTGTTAAAAGTTTAACATTTTTCTGAAAATGAAAAATAATTAACTGTAGACTAGTCCAAGGTTTTATTATAACTTAGATTGTGATTAATTGTATATTCAACTGCTTTGTATGGCAATATTAATTTTTTTATGTAACTTACACATCTTTAAAAATTTAATTGCTAAAATATATTTTAATAAATATTACTTATCAAACATTATATTTTAGGTATCGTATGTACAGGAAAAGCCAATCTACAGGTTTTCCATCTCTTATAACTATATTTTCTGCACCAAATTATCTGGATGTATATAATAATAAAGGTATTATTTATATTAATTAAATAAATAAATTTATATATATATTGAAGTGTAAACATTTATAACAAAATGCTAAGAGTATGTAAAATGTTGAAAATTAATTAATCTGATAGTTTTTTGAAAAACAAACTAAACAATATTAGTTACACATTTCAATTTCTATCTTCAAAGTTATAAAAGATACAGTATATTTTTATTAAGAAGTATTTATTTAAATAATAGAGATAATTAACTAGAAAATTGAATTTCAGATTATGAAATTTGTGAAAATGGTAAATCATTGTTAATCAAATCACCAGTATTCCTCATATTATGCAATTAATTGGTATCAAAAAGTATTGTTTTAAATTGTATAAGTCAAATTGACTTTTGCTTGGGTAAAATAAAAATGAAAAGTACATTAAAATTTAGAAAGATTCATATTTTTTAAAAATTGGTATTTTAAAATTGTAACTAGTAATTTAATAAAATTGTAAATGATTCAGTTGATTCAAGTAAGTCTAGATTATTTTTCCATCTTTGTTTTAAGACTTTGATTGGTAGATTGATAATTTTCTGCTCTTGAAATTTCTTTAACATAGCTAAAATTGTAAAATATAATGGACAACATTTTTTTTCTTCTCACTTATAGGTGTTTTTGTGATAAATCAAAGAATTTTGAATTCTCACAAACTTTAGTATTTCTTTTGCTATTAGGATAATTCTCATCGGTAATATCAATGGCATTGTTAAAGTTCTTAAAAAAGTCAGCTATTTGTTAAAAAGTGTTTAACAAGTTTGACAACAGAAGAGTAATTTTTTTAATCTTTCTCAATTTTAAGAAAATCCTTATTGACAAATTCCTATGTCTTAATTGAAGAAGCTCATTCTTACTGGCTTCATCTACCTCTTAATCCAACTGTAATTGCAAAACCTTATATCTTAAATCCAGCACTATTAAGCATTGAATTGGAAAGTTTAACTTAAGAATTAATCATGAGATTTACTAATATCAAGCCAAAATTTTCCAAATTCTTTCATGCAATATTTGAAACTTCTATCTAAACATCTCTAATGTTGACAGTCATTTTCTCACTGTTGTGATTTTTCCAAAAATCTTCCACCAAAGGTTGTTCTTTGCCATTAGTTTTTTTTTTTTTTTTAATTATCTGAGGTCAATTACAACTTACAAATTTTGTAATGATACTGTAATAAATAAATTCTGTTAAAGATGCCATATTTGGATGCAAAAATATAATAATGTTTTTATTAACATCAATCAGGATGTTAAAGGATGGCCAAGTGCATTTTCTGGAGGAGAAGAATTTTAAAAAAACTTATCTTCTCACAATAAGCCTTCAATTCATTACAGTTCTTTGAAAGTATAGCTTTATGCTTATTGTATTGCTTTCAAGGAACTTTGCTAATTGTATAGCATATGTCACATAGTTAGCAAAAGTTCCTTGGAATGATTTTTCAAACATGACTTTTTGGAATGATAAATTATGAGAGGTTTTTATTTCATTATTTCTAGGTGAATTTGCTGTTAAAAACACTATGATGATTCTTGGAGGTTTTAAACCTCTCTACTTTCCCTGAGAAAAATATTCCATTGCACTTTCTAAACAATTATATCTGCATTGGACACTTACTAAGGTAAATAACCTATGGTCTTTAATTGCCAGTCAGAGTTATGATAGAAATTTCTCAGCAGCATCTGAATTAGCTGTTGAAACTTTACTTGTTATCTTAAGAGCAACATGGATTGCATGACTTTAAATCATTCAAATTACTCTGCATTTGTGATAAAGATTTACACTTTCAGATAACACTCAATGTCATTAAAATACTCAAATAATTTTTTTCAATTTAGTCTAGTAACATCAATAGGCCTGGCACATCACATTGATATATCAGTGTGATAAATCAAAGAATTTTGTCAACATCCTTTGTAACTTCTCTAAGCAATGCCCTTATCTATATCAGGGATGCACAACCTTTTGTGAAGAAGGGCCAAATTAGGATTAAGTTTACTGACTGGGGGCCGAACCCCAAGCGATTAATGCAATGGCTGAGATTGGATGCTGGCGGCAATCTTCTTTATGTCTGGTGTAATGGCAGATGTTGAAACAACCAGTAGATTTTTCAAATTCTCGTTGGTTAACCTGTTCCGTGTTTTGCACTTGTTTAAATTCATAAGCGAAAACTTGCAAGCTTGTTTGGCAGTACCTATGTATGCTTGTTTGCATACATAGGTACTGCCAAACATGCTTGCACAAAATCGAGCATTGTCTTTCAGTTTTGGAAATGATGTATCTGGCAGTTCTTCGTAGAATGTGAGGAGATTAGAATTTTTAAACTGTGATTTCAATTCATCACTGCACTAGATGTCTATCAACTCAAGTTGGACATCTGGAGGGGCATCTTCCACTTTCACATCAAATGGAGTTGAAAAAAGTTGCAGGTAGATCTTGTATTTCTGGAATTCACCAAACCTCT